AAACTAACTGAGTCCCACCAGCCAGGGCACTTTCTTCTTTCTTAACCATACTCTCCACAGCCTCCTGAAGGATATCTGAAAATGCAATTTTAATTAGATCATTCCTCTGCCCATAATTCTTCAGATGCACAGCACAGAAATTTCTTTGTGATCTTTAGCTGCCTAACTCTCCAGCTTCACTACCTTCTACCCAGCCCATTAAAAAAAATCATGCCAATGCTAGTCAAAACAGTCTGCAAACTGTTTATTAGCAGGACACAATAAAATAAGAATCTTGAGCTAGAATATAAATCAATGCACTGCTTCCTTTGTCAAGAAAGTTTTGCAATTAAAAAGAAATCAGATAAAATAGCGACTTAGTTGATTTATACTCTGGTGACTTCTGTTGTCACAGACTACTAACAAATAGTTCATAGAATGGCCACAAACTGCATATTTAGTGGCACTGCCCTTCAATTGAGCTTTAATTAACTGCTGATCTCTACAAGCTCTTTGCTCCCTCAGGTTTCCATTTCTTTGCATCTACTGTTCTCTCTACTTAAGATTCCCTTCTCATTACATTCCCTTTGCCCACTCCCACATTGTTTGCCCCCCAATTAACTGCCTTTTCTCTCTGTGAGCCTAATTTCCCAGACATTTTTCATCCTCACTAATAAACCAATTAGAACACTTACATAATTTTACTGTAATAATTTTGAGTTTGCATATGCATATCTCCAGTTAACTCCTGAGAACAGGAGCCATATCTTTTCAGTTCTAGAACTACAGTGCTTAACTCAGATGTTAGCAGATAGTAGTATCCAGTAATATTCTTCGTATATGAAATGAGGATTTGTCAGTGTCTTGTCAGGAAATTAGAAACCACTCTAGGTGTTTCAGAAAGAGGAAACAATACAAGGAATTGTTTAAACAGGTGGTGGGAAACTGGGAAGCAGGGCAGGGACTAGTAAGGCAACCCCAAAACACTAGTAACATCAGGAAGCTGTGATGATGCCTAGAACTTGAGGAACAATGCAGGGAGGGGATGGTTCCGGAACCCCAAAGCTGGCACCTGCTAGCAGGGACTAACACAGTAAGGACTACCAAGCAGGAGCTTGGACCAATGGAGGGAGGGGCCATCCAGAGAAAACTGAAGCCACAATGGAGGTTTATAACTGCCCTAGAAATGCCAGCGAAAGTGGTGTATGAAGGAAAAATACCTTGGTTTATCTCTTCCTTCTGCCTTCTAGTGTACTCTAATGCTTCCAATTTAGACAGACCCAAGTGGAAGCCAGAAGGCAAGCAGTGGTGGAAATGTACATCCCTCTGACACAGAGAGGACAAGAGAAATGTGGAGAATGGATCTGAGAGCAGATGGGTCTATGATTGTACATATGAGTTCTGGCCTTGGATCTTCCACTCATAAGCTAAGGAACTAAAGCTAATCACTTAACCTTACTAGTATTCACAGAATCTATTTCTTCATCTCTGAATAGGATTTATATGACTTTCCTTGTTTGTCCTCACACTATGGAAATTTTATTATACACATGTTTCTCTTTTTTACTTGTAATTTATTGTTCAATAGATAAATCATTGGCATTTCCCCTATTTTATTTTTTAGATTTATTAGGGTGACATTGGTTAATAAAATTATATAGATTTCAAGTATACAGTTTGATGATACATTATCTATATATGTTTCTTTGTTAGTACATGCAGACCCTGAGACTGAAAGTCTACCTCTGTAAGTGGAGGGTAGGGAGAGACTGAAGAAGGTCACTCCAGTCTAGAAATTAACAGAGTTTATTAATGGAAACTTATATACGAGGTGCATCTTGAGGAGCTGCAAGACAAAGTGGATATCCTCTGTGCTGCCTATCAAGTGTCAAAGAACTGTACAGGGTAAAAAGGGAGGGAATAATCACAGGTACTAGCACATGAATGCTACCAGGTATGGGAAATTATATACTTGACCAGGTTGGGACAAGGGCCTGTTCCAGGAACAAGTACATACCAGGGGGCAGGGGAAGGGTGCTGATTCATGTCAGAATGGACATCAATTGCAATCAGACAGTCTCTCAGGGTGGGTTTGTGGTAAGTAGTATCTGGATTCAGTTCACAGGCCAGATAGTGATCTCAGCATGGAACAGTCTCAGCTCCACACTCTTGGTGATTGTTTAGGTAGAAATATACATCCTTGCCCCAGGAAAAAATTGAGTTTCTAGTTACTAATTTAGAAAAGATTTTACCAATTACCACATTTGTGTTATAATAGAAAATATTATTATTCTGACAGCTTCTGAGAATATTCTTTTTCTGATGTCTTCTCTTGAGACAGCTAGGCCTCCAGGACTCTTCTGGAAAAAGTCCTAGTGGCAGTTATGACTTTTCCACAAAAGCCTGTGTTGAAATTTTGGTCTTTTAACTTCTCGGTTTGTGCTCTCTGGGAATTTGACAAACCACTCTGAACCTGTTTGTTTTCACCAAGAAAATGGGAATAATTATAAGTCTGTTGTCAGAATTAAATTAATATCTGTTATAATACCAGAAAATGGTGCTTAATAGTTATTCTGTCTATTGAATTACCTACAAATTACCTAAAACAATGGAAGAACAATTCTTTGCTTATGGCAGATTGAATAAGTATTTGTTATCAGAACTGTCTACTGGTTAAAATGCCTTAGAAATAAAAATGAACATCTCAAGAATCCAAAAGAAAAAAAAAAAGAAAGAAAAAGAAAACTGTACCCCTATAAATCAACACACATGATCACATTATCCTACCACACACAAATGAAATGATGCCTGGCTCCTATGGACTGAATTATGTCCTCCCAACATTCATATCTTGAAGCCTTAACCCCAGTTGATGGTATTTGGAAATGGGGCATTTGGGCAATAATTAGGTTTAGATGAGGTCTTGAGTATGCTGCCCTCATGATGAGATTAGTGTCCTTAAAAAAAGTGCCATCAGAGATCTTGCTCTCTGTCTTTCTCCCTGTTGCGTGAGGACACAGTGACAAGTTGGCAGGGTGACAAGCCAGAAAGAGAGCCCTAACCAGAACCTGGCCATACGGGCACCTTGAGGATCTTCTGGCTTCCAGAACTCTGAGAAAATAAATTTCTGTTGTTTAAGCCACTCAGTCTATAGTAGTTTGTTACATCAGCCTCAGCTGACTAACATTCTAGCTTTGTAGACTAGTGAGTTTTGCTTTGTGTTTTAACTAAATTTTGTAGAGGTGCTCACTAAAGGCAGTGGATGGATTGAAATAATCCATGATGTTGATGAAGTGGCAGTGGGGCAGTAAGTACACATCAGATCTAAATGGCTTTCCACATTGCGCTAGATAGTTTCTGAACCTTGACTGGAACTTACTTAAACTTTAAAGACCCTCAACATAAAAGCATGTTAAAGTCTTTTAAACTCACTGAGCTTTCACACTGGGAGTATGTAAAGTTTAAATTGCCTCCACAGGGTCCAAGGAACCTTCCAATGTGTGGAGGGGTTCTTTGAAACTCCTGTAGTCAGTATAAATCCACACTATTTCAATAATGTAGTCACAGAAACCTTCATTTTCTGGCTAATTTTCATATTCATTCAACTAGTGTCTAATGGATTGATATTATTCATAAAGCCCTCTAATTGCTGTAACTGTGGGCCATAGTTAGTCCTTCCCGCAGAAAGCTTGCACTCTAGTATAAACTGTATTATGAAGAAATATTTATAAAATGTTAGAAATGATGTAAAGAAGAAAAACTCATTTTCTGCTTGAGAGTTGAGCATGGAAAGCTCATGGAGAAATTAGCATCTGAATGGACAGTTAAAGGTTAGGCCGTTAGGGTCATATTGGACCCCAGGTCAGGACCGCCTGCATACCAGGGCTAGTAAGGGATGAGTTTGAAAACGTAGGTTGGTTCATTTAAAAAAAAAATGGTACTCAATGCCAGACTAAAGAATGTAGAATTTAATCTAGTCATGGGGAGCCAATCCATATTTTTGAGAGAGAGCAAAGCAATATGGCATCCGAGGGTTGAGCAAGATAGGTCATCTCAACTTTATTCTATAGAGCAGTGAGAGTCAACAAATTTTTCTCTCAAGGGCTAGACAGTCAAAATTTTATGCTTTGTGCACCATGTAGTTTCTTTTGCAACTACTCTACTCTGATGCTATAGTATGAAATCAACTATAAAATATGTAAATGAATGACTGTCTGTATTCAATAAAACTTTATTTACAAAAACAGGTGGCAGGCCAGATTTGTTCCATGGGCCATAGTTCGCCTATTACTGCAGCAAATGGTGAAATAGATGAGATTATTGTGCTGTTGATTTTAGTTGATTTGTCTGTTTGTCTTTCTTATGGCTTTCTTTGTAGTTTTTATTCCTGTGATTACAATGATGGCTTTTATCTTCCAGTCCTTAACAAAACTCTCAAACAGATATTTCTGCCCTCAAATGAGAAAGTGAGAAGGGGCACAGGGCTGGCCTAAACCAAATAAGAAAAGTCAAGATAGGCAAAAATCACAGTAGCTAAAATGTAAATGGCAACTACCATGTGTCAAGCATTCTTCTAAGTATTTAATACATATAACATATTTAACTAATGAGACAGTATTGTAAAGTATTTTTAAATTATTTTCCTCCTTTGCAAATGGGAAAGCGCAGTATTGAACGGTTAGGTGATTTCTCGTGTTTACTAAGTTTACAGGAAGAAATGTAGTCAGGATTTGATCCCAGACATCTAGCACAGGATGCTGCATTCTTGAACTGTATGCCATTCTGTTTTATGAGAATTTAAAGTTTACTTCATCATCTTATTTAGCTGAAATTAAAAGCTTATCTGATATTATTAAAGCATTTGTTGAGGTGTGTCTATGGAAACTGCAACTTTCCTAGATCTTGGCTCTTCTACGTTCTGAAGTCTTATAGACTCTAGGGTGGCATTGAAGAACTTGCCTATCTTTAAATACAGATATCTTTTTCTGTGAAAAAAATTCTTTCAAAGTTAGGTTTTTAAATATTGAGATATAAGTGGGAGTCCCATATAACTGAACTATTTTTCCAAGTGCAAGACTTCTAGTGCTAACCACTGTCTTAACCCTATTATGTGTCATAAGTAACACCCCTTGTCATCTATGCTTAATATGAGTTCTGAAGTCAGAAAATGCATCAATAGATTGGAAATTTGGAGATTTTAGGAAATTAAGAAAGATAATAAAGTAAAATTAAACTAGAAAAATAACTTTTATAATGCCACGAGGGTATCAATTATGCAACTAAGGGTCATAGTTTAGCTAAATGAAAATGTTCAGAATTAATGCGCTAGTGTTAGAGACTCCAGTCAAGTTCTGGCACAATCCAAAATACCACTAGACTCTACTGTATAGCAGCAAACTGGAAATTGATTTTGACTTTTTCTTAATGTTTTTTTAAAAGGGTTTTCCTTTCATTTGGTACAAAGGAAAGTAAGTATAGTGTAGTGGAAATCTTTAGATTCAGACAGACCTGGTTTTGAATCTTAACTCCATGCTTCACTATGTATTGAAAACAAAGCAGATTCCCAAATCTCTCTGTTCATGACCTATCTATAAACATGAAGATTATAACAAATAACCTACATAGTTATGGAAGATGAATTAATTCTTTATGAAAGCATGTAACATTAACATGATATTTTCATTTGAATTTGATTGTAAAATTAATGTTTAAAAACCTTAGTCTAGAACTCTAGATAGTACAGGGATATAATTCTATACAGATATATAGAGAATGAGTGTCTACAGATAAACAAAAATTAGGTAAAATTAATGAGCTGGGGGGAAACTACTGGCTTACAAAGTCCAGAAGATGCTAAAATATTATTTGGATTGAGCATGTCTCCCCAATTGAAGACATTTTCTCAAAGGAATCTTTATATTATGACTTCAAGATACTTTTGTGTGTTTTACAATGACAGAAGGTATTTTAACTGCATCTGAGGGTGTCTTACTAACAAGTTCCTTTTGCACCATTTTATCTATATCTTTGGACATTTTATGTTTCTCTGCAAGAGCATTCCCATGAGAAATCCATTTGTCACCATGTTATCTTTATGTAGATAAGAAAATAAAAGAGAAGCTAAATTGAGGACCAGAAGAGCTGTGAAAGGGAATGCACGCCCTCTAGTGACCCACATTTATTTCTCACAAGGGCATATACAGCTTTTCTTTTTGGTTTCATTTTAAATAAACATCAAATTTGATTTTAAAATAAATGGCTTAAGATTTTCAACTTGAGCATATTACATTGTGTAATCATATATTTGTTAGTATGGCAAGATTTCATCTATCACGTAACAGAATATTCTATTAACCCATGTTAGGGTGATTTTCTTGCACAGAACTATGTTTCAAAGGGACTTTCAATTTACTGAAAATGAAAAATAAGTTCTAGGCGTCTGAGGCTTAGAAACATTGTGTTGCCAGTCCTCTGGGTGATACATGTTCTTTCACACTCATTGGCTTTATAACTAATTCCTGTAATATTGCTGGTTCTGACATCTTAGATTTTTTGGGATTTCCTTAGCTTTTAAAGTGTGTTTCCTGGAAAGTTAGATTAACAGAAGATATAAAAATGACTTCTTTTTAACCACATCACAATTTAGAAATAAATATTACCAATGTATTTTTAATGGTGAAGATTTGTTCCCAAATTAAGGTAAACTATTATTTTAAAGTTGTTTTTACCTTCCAGATGTTAAAATAGTTTAGTTAATTTTTACTTTTTGGAGAGAAGCAACATTTTTGTCGTTTTATTATGTTTAGTGAAATCAGTTATCCTGAAAGTACAAAGATTAATACCAATGCCAGATAACTCATGGATTTTTCTGGCATTTATAGCGGAAAGATATTAGATCACTGTGTTTGTGTCCAAGCACATGCATTTGTAAAAGTCAATATTGTTATAGACAATAAACATATTATTGTTTTTGTATAATTAACAATGAAGAAGATGCACAATTTTAAGGACACATTTTTAAAAATATATATTCTATTGATTTTTTACAGAGAGGAAGGGAGAGGGATAGAGAGTTAGAAACATCGATGAGAGAGAAACATCAATCCGCTGCCTCCTGCACTCCTCCTACTGGGTATGTGCCTGCAACTAAGGTACATGCCCTTGACCAGAATCGAACCTGGGACCTTTCAGCCCGCAGGCCAACGCTCTATCCACTGAGCCAAACCCGTTAGGGCAGTGATGGCAAACCTATGACACGCGTGTCAGAGGTGACACGCGAACTCATTTTTTTGGTTGATTTTTCTTTGTCAAATGGCATTTAAATATATAAAATAAATATCAAAAACTTAAGTCTTTGTTTTACTATGGTTGCAAATATCAAAAAATTTCTATATGTGACACGGCACCAGAGTTAAGTTAGGGTTTTTCAAAATGCTGACACGCCAAGCTCAAAAGATTCGCCATCACTGGGTTAGGGCTTAAGGACACATTTTATGTTTTAGACAAGAAATCATATTTTGAAACATGTTAAAGGGACAAGGTAAACTACACAGAAATTGATTTTTTAGTTTCATTTAAAGATGCATTTCAGTGTAATCTGGAATCATTAAATTTAACTGTACTAAAATGTATTATTTTATGATTGGTGTTCTTAAACATATATATGTGTAAAACTAGAAATACATTTAAGCTTGTAAGGAAAATCATGCAACATAAGGAAAATGGAATGTTTGATAGAACTATTAATGCAGCCAGTTTATATTAACTGAGGACACGGTCCTGTCTCATTTGTCATATTTTGTTTCAGGTGTTATGTAAAGTGTTGAAAAGAGTATATAGGGTTTTTATTATAACTGGGAATTTTAATATCTTTTGCTATAATTTTATTTGATTGCTAGATGAACAGACTAATATAATTGGAATATCAAAGCTGCAAGGTAAGCAAAGTTCACCTCAGCTTTGTATCTCCGGTCAAAATCGCTTTAATCAATGAGGTAACTAAATACATTTAAGAGTAATTTTTAAAGAGATTTTTTTAGTTTATATTTTAAGACTAGTTTGATGGTGGCTTTTTAGTTTTTGCAATTTAAAGGAAGATCAGAGAAGTTAAGTCATTTGCCTGAGGAAATACAATAAAGATTAAATGGTTGCTTTAAGGGGTAAATAGGTGGAGTCCATGCAGTCAGCCCATAGGATTCAACTCAACTGGCATAAGATGTGAAACCTTTTAAGAAAGAAGATTAAATGGTTGATGAAAACCTGTGATACCTGATTTTCAGTTCAGTATTTTCCCATTGTACCATATTTAGTTTACATCTAAAGCACAAACATACACACACATAAAACTATAAGGCAGTCATGTGGCCCTTCCCCTTCCTACCAAGGAAAACACCCCCATACTGTACACACACACACACACACACACACACACACACACACACACACCTGTGAGTGTATACATAAACTGTGTTGATTTAGGAGAGGTATTTATCTAAATTTGACTTGTTTTCTCCTTGCTAAATAGGATTTTCCCCTTCAATAATGTTTTATGACTATAATCCTAGAGTCCTAAAAATACTATATTTTTAGCACAAATAAGGTTTATATGGAATTCTGCTTGATCTCTCTAGTTCAAATTTACATTTTGTTCTATTTATTAAAATTTTTTAAAAAAAATCCTCACCTAAGCCATCAGCCAGGCTATTTATTCAATTTTTATTTATGTTTTTTAATTTTCTTTATTGATTAAGGTATTACATATGTGTCCTTATCCCCCCATTATCCGCCATCCCCCCACTCATGCCCTCACCCCCCTGTTGTCTGTGTCCATTGGTTAGGCTTATATGCATGCATACACGTCCTTCAGTTGATCTCTCCCCCTTACCTTCACCCTCTCCTCCGTCCCCCTCTAAGGTTTGACGGTCTGATTGATGTTTTTCTGTCTCTGGATCTGTTTTTGTTCATCAGTTTATGTTCATTATATTCCATAAATGAGTGAGATCATGTGATATTTATCTTTCTCTGACTGGCTTATTTCACTTAGCATAATGCTCTCCAGTTCCATTCATGCTGTTGCAAATGGTAAGAACTCCTTTTTTACCACAGTGTAGTATTCCATTGTGTAGATGTACCACGGTTTTTTAATCCACTCATCTGCAAATGAGCACTTAGGCTGTTATCCAAATTTTAAAAAAACAAAAATACCTTTATTGTTGAAAGTATTACATATGTTCCTTCTTGCACCCCCATTGACCTCTTCTAGTCCCCACCCCACACCAGGCCTTCACCATCCTATTGTCTCTGTCCATGTGTTATGCATATATGCATACAAGTTCTTTGCTTGATCTCTGCCCATCCACCCACTCTCCCCACCTTTCCTCTGAGATTCCAGTCTGTTCTATGCTTCTTTGTCTCTGGATCTATTTTTCTCATCAGTTTATTTTGTTCATTAGATTCCACATATGAAAGAGATCATGTGATATTTATCTTTTTCTGACTGGCTTATTTCACTTAGCATAATGCTATTCAGGTCCATGCATGCTGTTGCAAACGGTCAGAGCTCTTTCTTTTTTACAGCTGTGTAGTAGTAGTATTCCATTGTGTAAGCGTACCACAGCTTTTTTATACATTCATCTGCTTCTGGGCACTTGGGTCGTTTCCAAATCTTAGCTATTGTAAATTTTGCTGCTATGAACATAGGGGTGCATATATTATTTCTGATTGGTATTTCTGATTTCTTAGAATATATTCCTAGAAGTGGGATCACTGGGTCAAATGGTAGTTTTATTTTTAATTTTTTGAGGAAACTCCATACTGTTTTCCTCAACTGGCTGCACCAGTCTGCATTCCCAAGAGCAGTATTCAAGGGTTTCCTTTTCTCCACATCCTCACCAATACTTGTGGTTTGTTGATTTGTTGAGGATAGACATTCTGACAGGTGTGAGTTAATACCTCATTGTCATTTTAATGTGCATCTCTGGGATGATTAGTGACTTTGAGCATATTTTCATATGTCTCATGGCCTTCTGTATGTCCACTTTCAAAAAGTATCTATTTAGGTCATTTGCCCATTTTTTAATTGGATTGTTTGTCTTCCTTTTGTTAAGTTGCATGAGTTCCTTATATATTTTGGAAATTAACCCTTTATCAGATATATCATTGGCAAACATGTTCTCCCATGCAGTTGGCTCTCTTTTCATTTAGTTAATGGTTTCTTTTGCTGTGCAGAAGCTTTTTATTTTGATACTAGAGGCCTGGGGCACGAGATTCATGCACTGGGGGGAGGGGGGGTCCTTCAGCCCTGCCTGTGCCCTCTCACAGTCCAGGAGCCCTCGGGGGGATGTCTGCAGGCCTAAGCCCATAGTTGAACGTCCTTAGCTCTGCTGCGGAGGCGGGAGAGGCTTCCGCCACTGTTGCTGCACTCGCCAGCCATGAGCCAGCTTCTGGCTGAGTGGCACTCCCCCTGTTGGAGTGCACTGACCACTTGGGGGCAGCTCCTGTGTTGAGTGTCTGCCTCCTGGTGGTCAGTGCGCATCATAGCGACTGGTCGTTCTGCTGTTCAGTCGATTTCCATATTACCCTTTTATTATATAGGACTAGGGGCCCAGTGCATGAATTCCTGCACCTTGAAAGTAACTGTGGACTGCGAGGCTTTGGTGGGCACAGGGGTGAGTCTTGGCCCATCCACCATGCCCCCGCCCAGCCCCTCCTACCATGACCCCCAGTCCCCTATCTGCTGGCAGCCCCGCTCCCGCCGCCACCGCTCCCACGCGCTGACAACTCTGGCCCTGTTCGCACCTGCTGATGGCCTGGAGCTATTGGGGCTGATGCGAGTGGGGCCAGCGCCTTCAGCTGGTGTGAGCAGCTGCTACTACCCCAATCACCTCTCAGGAGCAGGGGGAGATGGAGAAGCCCTCAGGGGCAATCGGGGCTGGCAGCCACGGGTCACACCCTCTGATGGTGCTGAGTGATTGAGACTGATGCCAGACACAGACAGTGGTGCAAGTGGTGGCTCTGGCGCCGGCTGTGGGTGCGAGTGGGGCTGGCACCGGCAGCAGGTGTGAGCACCGGGTGGGATCGGGAAATGAGGGAGCAAAGAATTTTCAGTAACCACCAGAGGCTCGCCTGGATGACAGTGACCAGCGCCCTGCCTTGGTCTGGCGCCCCCACTCACCTGCTCTACCATCCCGCTGTGGCCAACGCCCACCATGTTCCACACTCTGCCACCTGCTGCCAATGCCTGCCATGTTCTGCACACACCCCATGGTGGTCAGCACATGTCATAGTGACAAGTTGTTCGGTTGTTCCACTGTTTGGTCTATTTGCATATTAGGGTTTTATATATATAGATAGTCACATTTGGTTTCTTTTCTCCTTAGTTTCCTTTACCCTAGGAGATGTATCAGCAAACATACTGCTGAGAGATGTCTAGATTTTGCTGCCTATATCTTCTAAGATTTGTATGGTTTTGTGACTTACATTTAGGTCTTATCCTTTTTGAGTTTATTCTTGTGTACAGTGTAAGTTGATGGTCTAGTTTCATTTTTTTGCATGTTCCTGTCCAATTTTCCTAACACCATTTATTGAAGAGACTGTCTTTATTCCAATGTATGCTCTTGCCTCCTTTGTCAAGTATTAGTAGAGTATAATAGCTTGGGTTGATTTCTGTTTTTTTCTGTTCTGTTCCATTGATCTTTATGCCTGTTCTTGTGTCAGTACCTGGCTCTTTTGATTACAGTGACTTTGTAGTACAACTTGATATCTGGTATTGTGATCCCTCCATCTTTGTTCTTCTATCTCAAAATTATTGTGGCTATTTGGGGTCCTATTTTGTTCCATATAAATTTTTGGAGTGTTTGTTCAATATCTGAATTGTGCTGTTGGTATTTTAATAGAGATTGCATTGAATCTATAGATTGCTTTTGGTAGTATGGGTATTTTAATGATGTTGATTCTACCAATCTGTGAACACAGTATATTCTTTCACTTGTTTATATCTACCTTTATCTCTTTTTCCAGAGTCCTGTAGTTTTCTGATTACAGGTCTTTTACAAGCTTGGCTAAGTTTATGCCTAAGTATCTTAATTTTGTTGTTGAAATAGTAAATGGGATTGTTTTTTTAGTTTCTCTTTTTGAGAGCTCATTGTTGGTGTATAAAAATGCCATTGATTTCGTATTATTTTTTTTGTATCCTGCTATGTTGCCAAATTCATTTATTAAATCTAGTAGTTTAGTTTTTTTATGTATCTTTCCATTTTTCTATGTACAATATCATGTCATCTGCAAATAATGACAATTTCACTTCCTCCTTTCCAATTTGGGTGCATTTTATTTTTTTCTTCTTTATTTATTCAATTTTTAGAACAAGTAATATGTGGAAACATACATGTAGGAGCGATTAGCTTCAGAAGGAAGGTTGAAAGAGAAGAGTAGGGAATAGTTGATCAAGAAAACTTTCACGAGAAATTATGTATCTTGAACTGTCTTGAAAGATGAGTGTCTGAGATCAGGAAAGTACCCATCTACCAATATGGAATTTAAATATCTTGTCAAATTCTCAAACTCTGAAGAACAAAGAGGATTATTAAAAATATAATAAATACAATTTTGAAATCTTACCTCACTGCCAAAAAGAAATCTTGCATAATTGTAATACAAATGAAAAAGTATTATAGTTTTATTTTTATTATTTTTTTTGTTAATCCTGACCTGAGAATATTTTTCTATTGGTTTTTAGAGAAAGTGGAAAGGGGAGGGAGAGACAGAGAGAAACATCGATGTGAGAGAGACACATCAATTGGTTGCCTCCTGCAGGCACCCTGACCAGGGCCAGGGAACGTGCAACTAAGGTACGTGCCCTTGACAGGAATTGAACCCGGGACCATTTAGTCCACGGGCCAACACTCTATCTACTGAGCCAAACCGACTAGGGCTATAGTTTTATTTTTATTAACATAAAATGCATGTTTTAGCTAATCAAAATGTACAATAAAATTGGTTTGTTAAGTTACCTGGTCTAAGCCTAGAGCTCTGGGATCCTGAAAGAGTTAACATATTTCACAAGTGTCAACACTTTACTTTCAGGCTTCTAAAGACGAAGCACATTACGTTTTTATGAAATTGTACGTGCAATGTTGTTTAAAAATGTAAAATGGACATTCATAACCAGCTCACTAACCAAATTAGTTAAGTCTGAGAGCTTAAAGGATTTCTACTTTCAACATTTACCCATTTGGGAATGATGAGTTCCAAATGGTATATTGAAAGTGACTGAATTAAAGTTTATGTAAATGTGTCATCTTAGTTTAATACTTTATATAGCAGTCACTGTACAGAAAATTAACAGAACACAGTAAGTACCCATCAAGAGGCTCTTCTTGCGTAATTAGCATGGTTATAATATTGCACAAGTTCTATACTGTTGAGAATTCAAAATGGACAACTTCTTAAGCAGCAAATGTTTCTCGTTTTGTTTTTGGGTTTTTTTGTGTTTTTTGGGGGTGGTGGTGGTATTTTTCAGTGTTTTTCCTTTTAATTTACTTAAAATATTTACACATGCACATACACAGACAGATATATCACTAAATTTTGACTACAAGAGAGTGTAATTGATTTAATTGGCATCCCCTTTATGGGAAATTCAACCAGATGAAATAGAGTAGATTTGTACAATAAGCATCATACTTTTTGATATTTTGAAAATTCCAGAAAATGAGAGGTAGGACTTCGATAAAGCACAAAGTGTATAGGGTTAAGAGGTTTGTTCAAAGCAAGATCATACAGGACCATGTTGAAATTTTGGTCTTTATCCTAATAAAAATGAAAAGTTTTGAGTGGTTTTAAGAATAAGGGTAACATAGTGCATAGAATAGATAGGAAGATTCCAGAAAGATTGCCCAGAGTCAGTTGAGAGGCTATTGCAGCAGTTTTTGTCACATTTAATGTCAAGATGAATGAGGAAGCCAGCTCTGAAGCTCATAAGAAGCAGACAGATTAAGGGAAAATATAATATTTGATGAATTAGAATTTGCAATAGAATAAATATGGGAATGAAAGGAGAGGAGTGTATCAAAGATGATAGAAAGTGATGCCATTGACAGATCTGAGCAACACTGGGGGAGTAGTACTAGTTTGGGAGAGAAGGTCAAACATTAAATCTTGACATCTTCTCCTGAAAGAGTTGACAGCATATAAGTAGAGATACCCAATAGGCAGATGGTTGCATAGTTGTGGAGCTCAGATGAAATGCTTTAATTAGAGTCATTGATATATAGATTGTAATTAAATGTCATGATTATGTGCATGGATAAGTGCACTAGAGAGAGAATAATAGAGTAAATAGAAGATGATTGATAATGAACTGGACCTGGATGAACTCCAATATGTATAAGGAGGTGGAGGAGGATGAACCTGAAATGAAAAAAAATTACCAGTGGTTATAGAAATAGAAGAGAAAGTTGAGTAGAGTGGCATCAGGAGAGAATTTCAGGGGGAAAAAAGGAGACTGGTCAAGTGTTATGTGTAGCCCTGACTGGTTTTGCTCAGTGGATAGAGCGTCAGCCTGTGGACTGAAGGGTCCCGGGTTCGGTTCCAGTCAAGGGCATGTACCTTGGTTGCGGGCACATCCCCAGTTGGGGGTATGCAGGAGGCAGCTGATCAATGTTTCTCTCTCATTGATGTTTCTAACTCTCTATCCCTCTCCTTTCCTCTCTGTAAAAAATCAATAAAAATATATTTAAAAGTGTTATGTGTACTAGATAGAAAGAAAATAAAACTCTCCATTAGATTTATTGACATGGTTCCTTTATGAAGCAGTGTTTTTGTTGAGAAAATACTGAATGGATTAAAGAGTGCATAGGAGGTAGGGAACTGACAGCAAACTGAACAAATTATATTTTTTGTTTGTTTGGTCCTATTTTGTTTGTTCATTTATTTTGTTTTTTAGATTTCACCTATAAGCAAAATCATGTGGTATTTATCTTTGTCTGCTTTTATTTCACTTAGCATAATGCCCTCTAGGTCCATCCATGTTGTCGCAAATGCCAAGATTTCATTTTTTATGGCTGAGTAATATTCCATTGTATATATGTACCACTTCTTTATCCATTTGTCTATCGATGGTCACTTAGGTTGTTTTCATACCTTGGCTATTGCAATGAACATAGGGGTGAATATGTCTTTTCAAATTAATGTTGTGAATTTCTTTGAATAAATACCAGAAGTAGAATTTCTGGGTCATAAGATAGTTCTATTTTTAATTTTTGAGGAAAAATTAAAAGGAATGCAGATTGGCTGCACCAGTTTGCATTCCCACCAACAGTGCATGAGGGTTTCCTTTTCTCCACATCCCTGCCAATACTGACTGTTTGTAGATTTATTGATGATAAACATTCTGACAGGTGTGAGGAAATATCTCATTGTGGTTTGAATTTGCATTTCCATGATGCTTAGTGATGTTGAATATCTTTTCATATGTTTATTGGCAATCTGCAGGTCTTCTTTGGAAAAGTGTTGAGGTCCTTCACTCATTTTTTAACATTGTTATTTTTGGTGTTAAATTCTATACGTTTCTTGTATATTTGGCAATTAACCCCTTAGCAGATGTATCATTGGAAAATCTCTTCTCCCATTAAGTAGGTTGTCTTATTTAATAGATGGTTTATTTTTATTTTTTTAA